TGATTTAAATTAGTATTAACAGGGGACAGTAATAATTTTAGTGAAATAAATAATAGTTAATGAGTTATATAAAATTTAAAAAGGATGTAATATAATATTTGTGATTAGATAGTGAAAAGATGAGTTTATTGTATTAATTAGTGGGTATGAATTAATTTACTTATAATATTTTTAAATTTTTATGATTATATTATTAATATTAAAAAATAGATAGTAATCTTTTGATTTAAAAACATATAATAAATGGATCAATAATCATTTTAAATAGCATGTAAATATTATCTTTGATTAATAATAAACAAAAAACAATTAAAATTAAATAAAGCAAGTAAATTTTAGAAACTAAATAGAATAAATAAGATGAATTGAATTAAATAATTAAAAAAGACTGTATATTTTTAAATAATTTATTGAAACAAGCTAAATAAATTATTTTAAAAAAGACTAGATTGGTCGTAAAAAACTTTAAATAAATTTTGGAAAAATAAAAATAATCTAAACTTTATAAAAAGGGAGTAATGAAATTGAACATTCAATTATTCAAAGAGAAATTAAAATTATACTTTAAATAGTAAAAATGGGTAAAATATGAAGACAAAGAAAAATAAAGCTATAAAAAATTGAATATAACATTAATTAGGAAGTAAAAAATTAATTAAATTATTTTAGATATTAAATAATTATATTAAATAAATAAATAAAATAGGAAGTAATAATGATCTTTAATCACATCAGATTTGCAATTTTAAATTGACTGTTAATTAATAGGATGATGTATTGCTTTCAGATTTATCTTATCATATAATCAATAGTCAATTCATTTTACTTTTGAAACAGTTTGTAATATTAATACTTAATTTCTTATTGACACATATTAATTAATTACTTACTTACTTACTTACTTCAACAAAATAAACAAAATAGATAGTAAAACTTTTATTTTTTTCTATTGATACTTTACTTACCTATTTATTTGTTAATAGTGAGTAAAATTTTTGAATGACTTTAAGTAAGAAGAAAAAGATATATTCTAAATAAATAGAGTGTAAAGCTTTTATGTTAAATTACACTCTAAAATAAGCATTAAATTATTTTAAGCGAATAGTAATTTTTAATTTTAGTATTTTGAAATATTAAAATAAAATTACTTAATAGGGACAAGTTAATCTAGTTATCATCATGCCTATATATTATATTTGATTTTATTATAAATAGACAGTAATTTTTTTAATAGTATTTTGTAATGTTAGCAAGATGAGCTAAATAATAAATTAAAATTAATAAAATAGAATGTAATAATAATATAATTAAACTCTAATTCAAAAATACAAATTAAAACTTAAAATAGTGGGTAATTTTTTTTATTTGATAATATTAGAGATATTAATTTTACTTTTTTATTTAAAAAAAGCATGTAAAAAAACAATCATGTATGGTTCTACTTTACAAGCCACAACTTAATTTTAAATTAAAATAGAGTGTAACTTTCATTATAAAATTTATTATAAATATCTCAATATTTTTATTAAACAAAAAAAGCTAGTAATATTCCTTACTTTATTTATTAAAATATCAAACATATTTCATATTTCTAACAGAATGTAAACTTTTATATTTATTTATTTCTTAAAAGATTAAACTTATTTTGTTTACTATATCAATAAGCGGGTAATTTTATCATCTCATAGCAGACCTTCTTCGAATTTTTTACATCCTTAATAGAAAGTTATTTTTCTAAAATTTTTTTATTATCAGATTTTTAATCAACTTTTAAATTTAAAACAGTTCGTAATTAATATTTTAGAATTATTTTTGATGAGAAAATAAATGCTGAATTAACTAACTTTCATATTCAAAATAGCATGTAATTAATATTTTAGAATAATTTTTGATGATAAATTAAATGCTTAATTAATTAACTTTCATATTCAAAATAGGAGGTAATTAACATTTTAGAATCATTTTTGATAAGAAAATAAATGCTGAGTTAACTAACTTTCATATTCAAAATAGCGAGTAATTAATATTTTAAAATAATTTTTGAAGAGAAAATAAATGCTGAATTAACTTTCATATTCAAAATAGCGAGTAATTAATATTTTAGAAAGATTTTTGAAGAGAAAATAAATGCTGAATTAACTAACTTTCATATTCAAAATAGCGAGTAATTAATATTTTAGAAAGATTTTTGAAGAGAAAATAAATGCTGAATTAACTAACTTTCATATTCAAAATAGCATGTAATTAATATTTTAGAATTATGATTGATGAGAAAATAAATGCTGAATTAACTAATTTTCATATTCCAAATAGTATGTAATTAATATTTTAGAATGATTTTTGATGAGATAATAAATGCTGAATTAACTAACTTTCATATACAAAATAGCAAGTAATTAATTAATATTTTAGAATGATTTATATTGAAAAAATAAATGCTGAATTAACTAACTTTCATATTCAAAATAGCATGTAATTAATATTTTAGAATTATTTTTGATGAGAAGATAAATGCTGAATTAACTAACTTTGATATTCAAAATAGCTTGTAATTAATATTTTAGAATTATGTTTGGTGAGAAAATAAATGCTGAATTAATTAACTTTCATATTCAAAATAGCAAGTAATTAATATTTTAGAATGATTTTTGATGAGAAAATAAATGCTGAATTAATTAACTTTCATATTCTAAATAGACCGTAATTAATATTTTAGAATGATTTTTGATGAGAAAATAAATGCTGAATTAACTTTCGTTCAAAATAGCAAGTAATTAATATTTTAAAATTATGATTGATGAGAAAATAATTGCTGAATTAACTAACTTTCATATTCAAAATAGCTTGTAATTAATATTTTAGAATGATTTTTGAAGAGATAATAAATACTGAATTAACTTTCATATTCAAAATAGCACGTAATTAATATTTTAGAATGATTTTTGATGAGAAAATAAATGCTGAATTAATTTTCATATTCCAAATAGCATGTAATTAATATTATAGAATGATTTTTGATGAGAAAATAAATGCTGAATTAAATTTCATATTCAAAATAGCGAGTAATTAATATTTTAGAATGATTTTTGATGAGAAAATAAATGCTGAATTAAATTTCATATTCAAAATAGAGAGTAATTAATATTTTAGAATGATTTTTAATGAAAACATAAAATAAATGCTGAATTAATTTTCATATTCAAAATAGGGTGTAATTAATATTTTAGAATCATTTTTGATGAGTAATAAATGCTGAATTAATTTTCATATTCCAAATAGTCGGTAATTAATATTTTAGATGAGAAAATAAATGCTTAATTAACTAACTATCATATTCAAAATAGCAAGTAATTAATTAATATTTTAGAATGATTTTTTATGAGAAAATAAATGATGAATTAACTAACTTTCATATTAAAAATAGGAAGTAATTAATATTTTAGAATGATTTTTGATGAGAAAATAAATGCTGAATTAATTTTAATATTCAAAATAGATAGTAATTAATTAATATTTTAGAATGATTTTTGATGAGAAAATAAATGCTGAATTAACCTTCTTATCAAAATAGCACGTAATTAATATTTTAGAATGATTTTTGATGATAAAATAAATGTTGAATTAACTTTCATTTTCAAAATAGTGGGTAATTAATATTTTAGAATGATTTTTGATGAGAAATAAATACTGAATTAGCTTTCATATCAAAAATAGATAGTAATTAAAATCTTAGAATGTGTTTTGATATGAGAACAAAATCTAAATATAAAATAGTGTGTAAAATTTAATAAGAGATGATAATAAGAAATTAGAGAATTAAATGAACTTTTGAAAAACAGATGGTAAGTATTAGCCAAAGATAAATAAGACAGATGGAAAATAAGTTTAATTAATTTTGAATATACATACAGCGAGTAACATTTTAGAAGACTAATTTTGATGGAAAATCTTATTAAAATGTATGAAATAGATAGTAATATTTTTGAAAGTGAATATATAATGTAGAGTAAGTGCTAATTTTAATATGAAAACAGTGAGTAAGAAGTAATTGAAAAAATGTAAACTAACTATGTTAATCCTAAACTAGATTGTAAAATATTTGAGTGATTTATAAAGAATATAAAAAATAAAAAATAATAAATAATAGATTGTAATATTTTAATTAATTTTGGATGAAATACAATCAAGAAATGTTTTAATTAATTAAAATAGCTGGTAATAATTAATTAATCTTATTAAGAAACCAAAATATGAATATCAAAATATCTACTACTTACTTATTATAAAGAAAGTAAAATTATTTAAATAAAAAATCATTTTTCTTACTTAGAATTTTAATAAAATATATAGGGTATACATAACATATTGAAAGTTTTTATTACAAACAAAGTAATAAATGTTTATAAAAATATTAGAAGGTAATTAATTAATTAATTAATTCATCTTTTTACAAATAAATTTATAACTTTTATTTTATTGAAAAACTTAATTTCAAAAAATAATAAAATATAAATCAATTTTTTGCTTTTAAAAAGTGATGAGCCAGCCACATAATATTTTTTAGATTCAGGCAACACAGTTTACGAAGTCAGAAATGCACTTTTTTTGTTTGTTTATTTGTTTGCTTGCTTGCTTATTATAAATAAAATAATCATTTGAATTATTATTAATAAATATCAAAATGATATGAATTTGTGAAATATATTTTTATGTTTTCTATATTGATTGTAGCTTCAACTTTTAATTTCTTTTTTTTTTTTTTAAACATGTAAAAAAAATTAATTATTAAGTTTCTATGTTTAAATATTTTTATTAGCCAGATAGATAACTTAACTTAGTAAGTAATTATATTTAATTGTTTTTAATTTAATGGAAATATTGATTTAAAATTCCATTTCTTACATATTGATAGTATGTAAATAAGTATAGAATTAACGGCTTAAAAAATTTAGATATTCCTAGTTTTTGAAATTAAAAATTTCCATTCAAACAAAGTATATTTGTGATCCAATTTCAAGTTATAATTTAAATAATTACAAAATTTAACTTTTAACATTTAACATTTATACTTCAGCAATTAAGTGATTTATTATTTATTTATTTATTATTAAAACTTATTAATAGATAAAATTTATAAAAAATTGATCATTTTTTAAGTAAATTATGTCTTTTAATTTTATTTATTATTTTAATGCATAATTAGATGCAAAATTAGTAAAATTATACAAAATTAAATTTAACTGATCTCTTTATAGTAGTATAATTATAATTTGTTGTTTGTTTTTTATCATCAATGATTAAGGTAAATCAGGTAATGGTTTCAATTATTTTGCTTCTACATTTTCTTTCATATTACTCTTAATCAGTCGTCAAAAAATTACTGAAGTCAGCTAAATTAAAATTGTTTTATCTTTAACTTATCTATTTTTTCTTATGTTAATCCATTGCAAAAAAAATAATTTTTTATATCATAGTAAAAAAATAAAAAATGTATTTAAAATCATATAATATTTAGAAAAAAATAAATTAATAAAAAAATAGAATGAATCCTTAATAGCTATTTCAAATCTCTAAAAATATCTAAGTTGACATGGATCAGCTATATTAAAAAGTATTAACCTATATCAATCCTAACAACTAAGATAGATGCATTGCTCTCATAATATACAATCTCTCACATCTACTGTAAGCAGCAACAAAGCTTCTTCCGATCAATAATTTGCAGATGTCAATAGCCAGATAGCACTAATTATTTAAAATTAAAGCAATTACCTCCTAGTTACTCTAAAATATATTGTAGCTCTTAATCCTAATTACACAATCACTACAAGTTAAATAACTATTAAAAAAACACCAAAAATACATAAAAATATTTAATATATTTTAAAATAATGAAAAGCATGCACAAATGCTACAAACATGTTTTATATACCAAATAAAAATACTAATAAACCACTATTAATTTAAATATATATTGCTAATCCAGGTATTGAAATTTGAAAGCTAAGTAGTTAGCCTTC